CCGGGCTGAAAGGGGAGTTGGAGGGCGAGGGGGGCGGGGGCCTGGGCCACGGAGGCTGCAGTCAGCTGGCTCACTGCTTCCCTTTTCTGCAGCTCCCTTCTCCCGAACTGTCCTGTCCTGTCCTGCATTTCACCTCTCTCCTCAGGAGCAAGGCCGAGGTTGATCCTAGGGGCCCTCTGTGTCCAAATCAGGGATCTAGTGACCGTGACTGGAGGGCAGTGGCTCGAGCAGCACAACCCCGTGTCCCCAACTGGAGCAAACGCCGATTTGTCCCACCAAGTAACAGCTGCAGGCTTCAGACAAGCGCCAGCCCCTCCCGCCTCAGAGTTCTTATCTCTGCAGTGGGGACGATGATGTCTTTGTCCCCGGCTTGTTGTAGGATGAGGGGGGCCCTCCATGTGACTCAGAGCCAGCTGTCCCTGGGACCCCCAGCCCTGCCGTCCTGCAGCGAACACCAAATTCTGTACATGCTGCTGACTCTCTCCGTCTGGGCTTCTGACCCACGCACGCCCCCTCCCCAGTCCTGGCTTCCCAAGCCTGCGCTCTGGGCGCACAAAGCCCTGTGCAGGAGAAGCGGGGGCTGGGAGGGGCTGGGAGGGGGCCCGGGCCTCCGTCCACGGGGGTGCCCTAACCAAAGTGGGAGATGGGGGGACACAGACAGTGTCTTGCTCCATCCCTTTAAATGAAGGGTCCGGAGGAGCACTGGTGTCGGGGGAAAGTAACCAAGGGCCTCAGGACGGGACGTTCACGTACCTCCCAGGCTGGTCCAGTCAGCACGGCCTTGACTGGGGTGTGGCTCTAGGTGGTGGGTGAAGGGCCTCCCCCGCCCCTGTGCTGTGGCTCTGTGCTCAGAGGGGGTGGCCTGGGGCGTCCACGCGTCCGGGCCTCCAGCCCTGATTCCTGGCAGGAGTAACACCGGTGCACCGCCAGTGCTCCGGGAGCAGCTCTCACAGTGAAAGGTGAGTGTCACGTGTGACAGGTGAATTGATTTATATTAAAGGCTGGAAAGGGCTGGGCCTCAGAAAAGGGGAGACGCTCCACTCTGCTGCTCCCGCAGTCTGCTGACCCCAAGGGGCCCAGGCCCGTCCCCGTCCTTGTGCGAGTGTCCACACAGGGTCCTGCTGACCCTGGGCCCTGGACTCTGGGCCCCGAGCGGCCCTGCCCCGTCCGCATCCCACCAGCAGGCAATTACGCATTCCTGTGTCTCAGCGAATTCTTCCAGCTGCGTCTTTGTGCCTGGGGACGCGAGGGCGAGGGACAGCCCATCCCACGTTCTCACAGTTCCCCTGTACTTCTCAGATGCCTTTCTTGTTCGGGTTAATTAATTTAATTTCTTATTCAACTAGATTGGCTAATTTTTTGACTTTGTAGCATTTTGTCCACTATGATCCATTTCTCTGAAGCAGAAACTTTTCCATTAGAACACACACAAAATGTGCACGGCATTGAGATGCATGTTTCTTCTCTACCCCAAGTTCTTGTTCTTGTGCCCCTTTGTCAGCTGCATGGATGCTGAAAAGGCAGGTGTCCCTTGACTGGACAGTCAGCTCGGGACTTTGTCACACTGGCATCTGGTCCTGGTGGGCGAGCCCAGAAGTGGGTCCAGACAAGGACCAGTAGCTTCGCTCTCTGTGGCTCCCAGACTGGACTGATGGGGCCGGGGCAGCAGGGACAGGGCGGCTGATGGGGTGGGGCTTGGTTTTAGGATGTCACGTGAGAGGGACGTTGGAGCTCGGCCTAGGGGCACTGGTCGCCAGTGTGTCCGGCTCATTCCTGTCCCAGGGCCCAGAGGCCTAGTGTGCCCTTGGCCGCAATGTTCATGGACCTCGTCCTACTGAGCCTACTCACATGGTGCCTGTGGCTTCCGCGAGTCCCTTGGCTCCATTCCTTTCCTTGTCTGTCACTGCTGTGTCCCTGAATCTTAGCCTGATGGTTGCACCCAGAGGTGCCCTGTGGCTGTCCTGTGGGTGCCAGGTGAGCCTAGGAGCCCCGCTTTCACCGGGGTGGTGGTGGGGCGGTGGGCAGTGCTTGCCGCAGATAAAGAAGGAATCAGACTGCAGGTGCTCCCTGCAGGGTGTCACTTTGGAACCTCAGCCAAAGGTCAGTTTGAGGAAGAGCAGCGCGTGCTGAGAGGGCTGGGCCACGGGCCTGGGTGCGCCGGCCCTCCCACACCTGCTCTTGACTTTGGGTTTTAACTGAGGCCAAGAGGCGGGAGCGGGTGGCAGACACAGCCCGGCCTGCCTGCGTGGCCCGCAGAGAGCCCTCCAGCTGCCTCTGCCTTTCCTCTGGGAAGCAGGCCCAGGACCCCCGCAGGGTGACCCCTCCAGTGTCCATGGTCTCTGGGCTGGGGCTGCGAGGGGTCCTCAGCTCCCTCCCACTGCCAGGCTGAGGCACGTCCGGGCTGTCCCAGCCTCCGCACTCACCTGCGTCTCCGGGCGGCCGTCAGACCCCAGCGCGTCCCAAAATGCTGACATCTATCGGCCCGGGACACCGGAGTTACGCTGGGCAGGTCCACGAGAATGAGCAGTTCCCTAGAGGGTCTCTGGGCCTGAGAGATGGCAGATCCGGGGCTGGACAGCCCTTGGCTTCTCTGGGCCTCGTGCTCCCTGCGGGTACAGTGCGTGAGCTGGTGGCGTCCAACCTCCTTTCCAAGGCAGGTGAGGATGAAAGAAGCACAGCAAGAAGCAGCGTGGCGAGCGTGGCCGTGGGGCGTGGCCCGGCTCTTCCCCGGTCGCCGGGGTCCAGGCGTGCGGGGCCCCAG